TTTATTTTATTTTTTCATGTCATATATTTGATCCATTCATAAGTTTATAACAGTTTCAAATGATGTCTTCTCCACTGATAAGTTAGAACATTTACCTGGAAATTGTTGGGTATCCATTATCGCTTAACGTGCTTGTTATCGCCGTTTGATTATTACTCCTTGTTTGGATATATCGTATTTACCAAAAAATTAACAACTTGGTGTGAGAACATTTCCTTTACAAAAGAACTTTTATCTGGTCGAATTTAGGCGATAGATCCTTCAGGTTTCCCAGACCCTCATCAGTTTGCGATAAGGGTTAATTTTTAGGAAGATTTCAAAACATTAATTTGTTACCCACCTACTATCTAAAAATAACTTAATGACAACTGAATTGGTATTGGTATTGGACATAATTCCATATTCTATACTTTTTTATAAAATTCAAAGTATTGTCACATGTATGTAGGCAACATACATAGTGGCAAAGAAGATCCGGTTTCTAGACGGCATATACTGGATCCTTCTAGAACACGACCAGAACAAATAATTGTTGCAAAATCGAGTGAGTAGTACGAGAACAAGTTCGAGATGATACATAGCGAAGAAGAAGGAACTAAGAAATAACAAAGTGTTCATATAGTGGTGAATTGCTAATTAACAATAAATGTGTTCATTAGACAGTAAATAGTTAAGTAAAAGTAGTACTAGTATGAGAAGGTGTTTACATACGTGACATTTGGTGTCAGGTGTGGGGTTAAAGAAGATTGAAGAGGATTTGAGAAGGAGGAGGATTTTGAAGCATTCAATCAAATATAGTGAGCGTTCATCGGCCAATTTTCTGGATGTTTCCATCGACTGCAAGAAACCCTAGCAAGTGATATACCGTCGGAAAGGTCTCGAAGAAAGAAGAAAGAATCTGACGTCATTGAAGAATTTCACTAAATTTTCTGGATATTTCCGATGACTGCGACAAACCCTAATATGTTAAATATCCTTGGAAAGTTCTTGAGGAAAGAACAAATCCGACGTTATCAAAGAATTTCATGGAAGTTTCTACCAATCGTGACTTACTCCAACAGACCATAAAATTGTTGAAGAAAAAAAGGAACAAATCCTACGTAATCAAAGCGTTTCATCGTTTTTTCTTTCGATCCTTACTTACCCCAACATACAATGTATCGTTGGAAAGCTCTTCAAGAAAGAAGAACAAATCCGACGTTATCAATGAGTTCCATTGAAGTTTCTAAAAAAAAGGACAGGAAGAAATAAAAGAAGAACTGAAAGCAGCTCAGGAAGAAATGAAACAAAAGTGCAAGTAGTACAGGAAGCAATAAATACGAGTATGTACGACAAGATAAATGATATTAGAAATAAAATGGCGAATCAGGAAATGCGTAATCGCTGTCAATAAAGCCACTGCAGAACGGAACCCAAAATGTTGAGAATGTGGTAGGACTAATTTTACTCGAGACTGCAACAACTACGTTGTTGGTCGTCTGAAGTGCTGAAATTGTGGAAAAATAGGGCATATAAGTTGAGTGTGACCCTCAAATAAAATGAGCCACTCCGAATATGTAGGATTAACCAACTTTGTATGACGCAAGTTGGCTGACCCTAAACAAGCCCCCGAAGAAGTCATCACTTGAAGACTGAATGACGCTAACTCATTATTTATACTCTAAAAACATAATGTTATAATGGTTATCAATACAGGGGCACCCAACGCCAAGGTTCGCCCTGATATTGCATCGAAATGGCGAATTCGATCTTTGGTCAGAATGCAACGTCGAAATTAATTAGAATTGGGATCTCATACAGTTGGGTATTGCTGACCGATATAGCAGATGATGTCATCATTGCTCATTGGACCTTCTTCAAGAACATGGAATCGACTTAAATTTCAGCACATTTAGAAGAGTAGTAATGTCAAATCCCAAGACGAAGCTTGTTAGCTCCAAAATGATCGTACAAGAAGATGGAGTACTACAGAGTCACTACGAGAGCATTGTAGAAATCAGAATAAACGATAACATCGGCGGACTGGTGGGGTTAGTCGAATCAGACAATCAAGACTTGACACAGAGAGCATTATTGGCAGGACGTACGCTCATAAGAAGTGGAATCGAATCGATATCTGTTAGAATAGCCAATTTGAACAACATCTAGCAAAAGAATGCGAAGACACAGAGTTGGGTGTATTTTAACCACTAGCTGAAACCACCACTGCGACTGGGAAGAAGAACCCGAGTTGTTTCATGTTGTGAAACTTATGTAGTTTTGAGGAAGCCGAGGATTTACGGCGAAAATTTCAGAATGAGAATAAACGAATAACATAGGAATTGTCCAGTGGAATTCATTAATCTCACCACATACCCTTGTGTTAATTAAATTTGAAATTCAACCAGCACCGTAGTTACTGAAACATCACTTTTATATGTATATATATATACATATATATTGTGGTGATATTATTTAACACAACATTTCATTTCTAATCTTCTCTATCCACGGTTTCTTCATCATTAGCCTGTAAGACTACATTTCTAACGCTTCTAATCGTTTCTTTTACACACTTAACAATCCTTTTCGAATTTCTAAATTAATCGTTCGCGAGCGTAGAAGTGATTTCTTTTTATTGAAGGCTACTCGATCCTGCGCTATCCTCTGATTTATATCCCTACTACTCCTTCCGTCCTGACTTATCTGACTTCCTAGATACCTAAAATCAGTCACTTTTTCTAATTTTCTTCTCCTATCTTTATATTCGCTCTTTCCCTACTTTTTCTTGCCTTGCATATCAGTATTTTTGTTTTACTTTTATTTATTTTCATATAATATTGTTTCAAGTTCATTTATTACTCACTTTCCTACAACCTTTTATAAACCATTAAAACCAAAATTACCAGATCAGATCAGAACGCGTTATTCATTCGTAGGTCTCAACTCTTGCTATTTTTCTGTATTTCACTGCATTCCTTTTGTATATACATTTTTTCTCTATCATATTGCTGTACATAGTAAATAAAGACTGAGCACTATACGCCTGTGATCTTTTATTGTGTCGTTCATACCGTTAAACGATCAAAGAATAGTAGATGTCTCAAAATTAACGCAAGAATTGAATTTGCCACCATTGGTGCAGTAAAGTTCTAACAACCCTATTAAAAAACATTTATCAACTGAAAGTTAGGGTTAGTAAAAATTAAACAATACAATAGAATAACGTGTTTTCATTGTTGGACAATATTTCGAAAATAATGAATATCAGCCACAGTTCGATTTTTTCGTACAATAGATGGTGGGATTAGTGATTTAACTTCGTCAATTTTGAAGAGCAATTAAAAAATTGAGATAGACTAGATCCTGATGTTAAACACTCTGATCGTTCAAAAAGTGGCCGGTAGAATACCAATATCAGAGCAGTGCATGAGTGTTGATAAAAGTCCAGGAACATCAATTCGGCGTCGTGTTCAAGACTTGAAAATTACAAAAAGCTCTTTATAGCGTATACTCACTAAAGATGAGTGTCTCAATGCCTACAATGTTCAACTGACAAAAGAACTGAAGCTCAATGACCATGCCAGCGAAGAGAGTTCCTAAAAGTGCCTATGCCGAGTTTTCGAACAAAATCAATTTCAGCGATTTTCACCTTGATGACTTTATTAATTATCAAAATTGCTGCATAAATTGTCGAAAAACGAATGCATCTTCAACTTGTCACTGTTTGGTACGAATTTTGGACTGGAGGCATCGTTGGACATTAGATACTTTTTTGAAAATGAAACTGAACTAGTAGTGAATGTTGCTGGTGGTCGCGACGTATTAATACAGTTCCTTCTGCCTGAATTCAATGATATAGTTGTGGACGACATGTAGTTTCAATAAGAGTACTCTTTCATTTCGGTGATGAGAATTGCCTCTTTCGATCATGTGATTTAACACCGTTACATTTTTCTTTATGGGGCTATTTGAGGTCAAAGCCCGCAAGCTCGCGTACATTGAAGGATTAAATTCAATTCGTGGAAGTCATTTGCCTGATGTGTTATTCCATATATAACTCCATCTTATTTACTTTAAGATTCAATAAAAAAGTAACAATTTAACGAAAAAAGAAATTGTGTTTATTGAATCTTGCGTAATTTTTGAGACACACTTTATAAGTAATCATGATTCCTTTAATTTTTTCTATTTGAATGTTATTTGAAGAATGGTAATAATTAAAACTTTCTGAATTAACTAGATTGACTTTATTGATTTGGCATTTACAAGTACCAACACAAACAATTGGCCAGTTAACTTCGAGTTACACTTGGTCTTAGAAAAAAATTCGTCCATATTTTACTACTACTCCATTCACAAGTACTTAAGAGATGGTTACACTGCCGAACAGCTAAGATGGGCGTTAAGAGGCAACGAGGACCCATTCAAGTACTACAGCGTAGACGGAAGGCGAGCAGGGCCTATGCCCAGCCAGAAGGATATAGACTCAGGTCAGTATGTTCAAGACTGGACGTACATGTTCGCAGATGGATCAGTTTATTCAAAATATCAGCAAATATCGCCTAATGAAGACATAAACAGTGTGTTCGGTATTTATGGCGATCGTATTGGATTGTCTCTACTGCAGACACACAAAGAGTGGGTCAGTGGCGGACCATTCAAGCAGGTTAGTTATCATTTTTAGCTGAAAATTATGATAAATTAATTTATACACAGTGGAGCTCATTGTATCTTCTTTGTGGTCTATTTTTACATGATTATTTTGTTTTATCTTTTTTTAAAATATCAACACAACAAATAGAATATCTGCAGTGTGAGTGTCTTTTTGTTTTGCGATTGTTTTTTTAAATATTGGCCATCTTGATGACGTTTTCAGGGGTAAATGACTATTAATACGTACACGTTTCGATTAATCGTTTCTCGAAGTAGTTTTCATGGAACTATTGTTATAGGACCTGACAACTCACACCGGACAAATGCTGCTCTTTCATGAACATTCGGATCACTACGGTACTCCAGAACTGGTGCCCACCAAAGGATGGACCAAAGTGTACGGTCCGATCGGCTTCTATCTCAATGATGGTCAAAGTCTTTCGCAAATGTATGCTGACGCTCAGAGACAACTCAGAGATGAGGAGAAAAAGTGGCCGTACCAATTTGTCACCGCACCAGAATACAATGCACAAAGAAGGGGCAGTGTGTCAGGAGTACTCAATGTGGATGGGTCGCCTAATAAGGAGTGGGTATATCTTATCCTGACCGAACCTCATGTCGATGACCCCCAGTTAGAAACGGCTACCTACATGTATTCGGCAACTGCTAAAGAAAATGGTAATTTGAAATTATTACTTTTATTTTCAATAATCGGATTAATATTTTGATATCGAAATTCTATTGAAAGTAATTAATTCACCTTCAGGTGCGATCTGATAAATTTACTAATTCTTACATCAGGCGCCAGGTCATTTTGAATCTCATTTTAAAATATTTTGAACTTCATTTATGCACAATAGAAACAATTACCCATATCAGAACGAAGAAATTATTAATAGATTCTTAATAAGAAACTGAATACTGAAAGTTTTGATTACCCTCAGGTGAATTCACAATACCAGCTGTGAGACCAGGCACGTACAAACTACAAGTAATAGCTAAGGGTGTAGTTGGAAAATACGTTCAAAACAACATTAATGTGCAGGGAAATAAAAATAACGATCTTGGCACGATCAATTGGAACCAGGAGAGCAATGGTCAATTGCTTTGGCAGATCGGTGTACCTGATAGAAATTCGGCAGAGTTCAAATCGCCACCTGGCTTTCCATCACCGATTCCTAATTTAGAAGGTACTTCATAGCAAAGCTATTGTCTAACCAAATGAGTTTCAGAGGATGAGTAATAAAAGAGAACAAATGCGTGCAGGGTTGACAAATATAGTGATTGGTGTGAAAATCCTTTTCTGCATTAATTATTTGCATTTGGTTTTTATTTCTTGATCAGTATGATCGCATTGCAAGACCATAATATTATTTATTATTTTACAATCCGCAAAGCTCACTTTGATACCATCAGGTTTTGCGTGAGTGAACTAGCAGTTGGGAAATACTACTAAACAAATAACGCGAAAATTTATCATGTTTCCTTCCTATCCGGAGCTAATCTTCGCATTTCCTTAAAACTAGAACAACCTACAGCCTTAACTACAGCCTAAATTAAGTAAATTGTGATTTAAAAATGTAATTTTATTATTAGAATACCGCAAGTTTGGCACATGGCTCAGATATTCCAAAGAATTTCCTAATGATCCAGACTTCACAGTAGGTCGTAGTGACCCGGCTAAAGACTGGTGTTATTTCATGCCCATGATCAAGACGCCTGGCTACCCTGACCAACTCAAATTAGTTAATATCACCCAAAATGTGCAACCTACCAGCTGGAAGGTCAGATTTGACTATAGTGGATCAACTGCGGGCACCGCTACATTGACCTTGGGATTTGCGGCTAGGGTTAGAGCTGGTATTCGTGCGCTGATCAATGGTCAGGAGATTCTTAAGGTGGACAATTTTGATGGACCCCAAGGCGATTCTGCGCTGTTTCGTCAAGCAGCGCATGGTATATTCCGCCAGCAAAGTGTGTCGTTTAGTCAGTCACTGCTACAAGGAAATAATATTCTCGAGTTCACACCTCCTGGTGCAGTGAGTCAGAATCATTTTGACAGAATGGTGATGTGGGACTTCTTGAAAATGGAAGTCAGTAGTTAATTGTGTATTTCATGTACTTCAAATATGTTTTGCTACTTACTTGAAAGTTATCAATCAATAAAAATTTAAAAACTATTCGATTTAGTAAACACCTCTAAAAACTACTAAAATAATAATAGGGATGGCAATTGAATTTTTTCCGCAAAGTGAGACGCCAATTATTCATTCCTTATAAGATGTTCTTAGTTTATGTATACTTACTTAAACAACATCGAGAATAGATACACACTTTCTATTCAAAGACGAGATATACAGAATTCAAGCTGTACACTAGCGCTGATCAACCTTATTAAATTGGTGAGATCAAATATCCTGTCCATTCGGGTTACTAAGACTGTATATACCTTGGCCCATTCTATTTCCCATTAGATGACGGAAGGACTCTACTAGTTAATCTTTTCACAGCAATACATGACGCTTTAGTCATGTGTAACAGAAGACAATATTATAATGATCAAGTTAACCACATTATGAACATTGCTTTTATCACTTATGATAATGTAAATTATTCTATCTTCAATTTTCTTGGTGGTGTATTCCATGATGATTAACATCTACTCCAGCACGACAACTGGATTAAAATTTATTTCAGAGAAATTCTATCCCAGGTAATTGGCAACATATTACAAACCCATCCTACGACGACAACAATAGAGCTTTAACCCCCCTAGTAATGCCTGAAAATGAATTCAACCCCTACATGTTTGCCTTCAGATATACTCTACAATGTTAATTAAAACAGACAACTAGATGCAATTACAGTTAAAGCGTGGCTTAAATACGACCTCGTTTCCCTTTATACCGTTATGGTCCGGGATCCAAAGCAGAACTACCTTGTTTTGAGTTGATAGTTTGTTGACAGTTTGGTGGCAGTCCTCTAACAGCTTCGACATTGTGGCGTACGGTCTGAGGGCTCCTAGAGTACTTTTACATTCAGTGTATATGTATATGTTTTCGGTATTTTCCGGGCACAAAAAGGTGGTACTGAAAGCCTGCTCTCACATCGTCGGTTGTATAGTCAATTCCGCTCCTCTCCTTGTCTGTAGACTCATCAGCGAACCATAGGTCACAGCCACAAGAATGGAGGCTGGTTCTGTACTTTTTATCAAAGGCGATGAAGACCTTTGCGCCGTCAAGGGGCATCTCAAGGATTCCTGCGTGGTTTCAGTACCGCTTCAAAAATCCACCTTATGGTAGCCTTATGGTTCCCTCCTAAAGATCCTTCTGATTTACCAAAGTCAGGCTGAATTTTGAATTCAGAGTTCCTGCCCTGCCTCCAACCTGAAGGGACAAGGTTTCATCACTTGTATTTTGCATTGGGTGTTTTGCTTTTATATTGGTATTTAGTCCATTTTGTTCCCACGAGTAGCATAGGAAACAATCACACAACTTGTGTGTTTTAATGATAAGCAAGTAAGTGTTATTCAGAAAATGTCTAATTTAAGAGAAAATTGACTTATACCAGCAAGACGTTTTCTCGTATGCTGTTACATCAATTCCTTTACTAAGGGAAAAATGTCCCTCTGCCTGTTGTCCCACACAGATCTCCAAGTTTACTACATAGAGGGTTTTAGAATGGAGCAAGGTAAAAACATTTTGTAATAGGCAATATTATAATTTTAAATTAGGCGTCTTTAAAACCCTGATGACAGTGACTGAAATCGGGAGCTTGTAATGGCACGGTTAAATTGTGAGGCGCGTACCGTACCCAACGGATTAGTTGTCTGCTCACGTACTGAATGGTCGCAAACAGTGCCTTGAGGATACCGGGCTACCTTCTCGAGTATTACCTCTGTATACGAAGCTCTGTAGAGGCGGACTGATTATTTTCTGCGTTACTTGTGGGAGCAAAATGGACTCAAAAAACAATATAATAATAAAACTTCAACACCCAACCCTAGGATTTCGAGTATGAAAGCCTCCTTTCCTTAGACTTTGAAAATATCAAGCGAACACCAATATATTCGTATGCACAATATGGTGGTTATGGTGGGTACTGCAAAGGCTACTAGAAATCATTATCATTTGAACAAGCAAACATTGATAGCACCCTCGTATATATATATATATATATATATCCCCTGGTTCTTCTTTTAATTAGTAAGATCAGAAGTATGAGCTATAAGGTTCAATATTACCTACTAAAGGTTCTTCAATTACGGTTTAAAGTGAATACTTTTATTAACTGGTCGTTATATTTTGCTAATTAATTAAATTCGTGTAAACAGTGAATTAGACTGAACGGGTAGTGTCACCAAGTTTTTATATTATTTAATATTAGTTTAAAGTCGTGTGTTAGAACGATTCATGTCAAAAACCAAAAAATCGAGGTATGTCCGAAACAAAGTTTGTGATAACTTGGATGATCGCGGGGTAAGTAATTTTGTTTCATAATTGTCAAATAAGTCAAATTTTATTATCTCTTTCTCCTCTACAAAATTAGTAGGCTATAGACTAATAGGTAGATAATTATTAAAAAAAAAATGGCAACAAAACTCAGTTTCTAACTCAATGTTTAGGATTTTGATATACCAAATTCCTGAATTCGCTGATGGTGATAATGGTGTCCAACTATCGCGCTTTAAAACATCTTCGATTTTGCATTTGAGTGTTTTAGCAAAAATCAAAAAGAAANATAATACTTATTTGTAACAAAAGAGACTTTGTTTACTCTACCTCTATTTTCTAATTAGTTTGAATTAAATTAAACAATAAGAGAGAACAAGAGATATATGAGAAGCAGAAACAGGAGTAGAGGTGGACCTATATTAGATTATTGTTCGTAAATAGTTATGATAAGAAAGACTGGAGGTGTGTGTTGTAAAGACTACCAGAAATCATTATCGTTTGAACAAGCAAACATTCTGGTTCTTCTTTTAGTCAGTAAGATTTATTATTAGCCTAATAAAGATTATTCTATTACGATTTACGAAAAGTGAATACTTTTATTTACTGGTCGTTCTATATACATTGCTTTACTAAATAATTAAATTTGTATAAACAGTGAATTAGACTGAACGGGTAGTGTCACCAAGTTTTTACATTATTTAATATTAGTTTAAAGTCGTGTATTAAATTAAATTAAATCCTACATTTCGAGACGTAACAATTGGCGCAGTCAGTAGGATACATTCAAAATCTTCAGAGGCAAGTCAACCCTTTCCAACCATTTCATTGGACACAAGAGGACTCCGAGAAATTGCCCTAATTTTTTTCTTTCTCATGTCACTGATAACCTGGATGATCGCATGGTAAGTAGTTTTGTTTCAAAATTGCCAAATAAGTCAAATTTTATTATTCTTTGTCTCCATCTCCTCTACAAAATTAGTAGGCGTTAGATTAGGTAGATAATTATTAAAATGTTTAGGATTTTGATATACCAAATTCCTGAATTCGCTGATGGTGATAATGGTGTCCAACTATCGCGCTTTAAAACATCTTCGATTTTGCATTTGAGTGTTTTAGCAAAAATCAAAAAGAAATCCTTGAAAGGATAGCGTTCTCTAAAATTACCAGCAAAGCTAGGAAATTAATTTCAAATAGAGCTTTTGAAACTCATGAGGAACTGATAGAATTATTGGATAGTTCTTATGATACTGAAAAGTCTTTTGAACATTTAATTTGGGACTTTTATATGGCAAATAACAGAGATGGCAATGCAAAATTTTTATATAACAAAATTTCTTCAATTCGTGATGCAATATGCACTACAATCGTGTCTACAGCAAAAATAAAAGACGGAAAATTAGCATTAAATTTGGCATTCGAAGGAATTGCTGTTAGTGCCTTTTTAAGAAAGCTCCCTGCAGAAATAGATAACACCTTAGTGAATAAATAATATAAAACACTGGAGAGTATATTTAATGATGTCGAAGAACAAGAAAAAATTGTTAAAATGCCTGAATTAGATTCACAGCGTTTTAAGTCCAATGATAAGTATAAACGCTCAACTTCTAAATTTAAATTTAATAATAAAGTTGGTTTTGAAGATAACCAATTTTCTTCAAAAAAGTCTTATCAAGAACCTAGCAGTGATAAATAATCTATTCCGATTCGGAACCTGATTTACAGAACGAACATTTTTTAAACTGATTTCGGGATTCGAACGACGAGAGCACCGAATCCAATTAAAATCAAGTCCTTCCAATATTTTTGAAATTAATCAGGCAAGTTACAATAATTTACCCATAGTTAAATGTAAGTTGTTCAAAAGAAAATTAAAATTACTCATATATACAGGGGCTAGCATAAATATTTTAAAATTTTGGGACTCATTACCAGAAATTAATAAAGATGATAGTTTAAATATTAATGGTTTAAATGAATGGACAACCTTTTTCGACATTAGGAAGCATAAAAACAAGTATTGATTCATTTCCGATAACTTTTCATGTATTAGAATCAACAAACCTGAATGTTGACGGTATAAGTGGAACGGAATTTTTTCAAAATAATAATGTTTTAATAGATTATGCAAACAGGATATTAAAATTTCCTAATGATATGAAAGTTAAATTTAAAGCTCCTGATAATACTAAAATTTTGCATTATGTTTATTTAGAACCAAGATGTGAACAAATTGTTAAATTTAAAGTAAATTTAAATCCAGATAAAGAATACATTTTCTCAAAATTAAATATCGATAACATAATCTTAACTCCTGAATGTATTATTAAAACTAATAATAATAGGGAAATTTTCGTAACTATGTTGAATTTCTCTGATAGCAAACAGATACTCGAAGTAGAAACACTCGATCTGGAGCCCTTTGTTTCGTATAAAGTAAATAGTATTAGTCATGTCAACACAATTAACAAACAAGATAATTCCGACCGAATCTACAAACTATTAACACAAATACGTTGTGATCACATGTCTACAGAGGAAAAGGTATTAATAATAAGTCTAATTAAGAAATACAATGATATTTTTTATCTCGAGGGTGACATTTTCTCTTGTACAAATATTTTAAAACATAAAATTATAACTACCGATGAAATTCCCATTACAGCAAAAAATTACCGATACCCTCAAATACATAAACAGGAAGTAGATAAACAAATTAAAGACTTATTAANTAGCGAAAATAATCCGTTAGATCCTAGAACTGAACAATTAGTTAATGAATTAAATAACTTCGAAAATTTACCTAACACAAATAGTATTACTGTTCGTAAGTTAACTGAAAATACCGAAAAGCATTACGAAATTGTTAACAAAGTACCTGAAAATGTGGATATTATAGTTTTTCCAGTAGAAAATAACCTAACTAAAATTAATACAATTCTTTTGGACACTAACAAAGAAACCATTGATAATGAATTCGAAATAGTATGTTCTTTAAATACTAACTACACGTATGCTTTTTTTAAAAATAGGACTGTGGACGAATTTCGAGAAAATTTATCTAGTTTTTCTTGTCTTTTTACTCAAGAAACTATTTTATTTGTAGAAAGTATTCTAGAAAGTTATAATATTAATAGAGTAAAGTAAGGGAATGTCGAATAGGGAGGTAATGTCGAATACCAACTTTTCCAGGAGCACAGTATAGACATCTTGTTGAAAATAGTATGAACATATACTTCTAGTTCCGGTTTGTAACTTGTGTACTTGTGAGAGCGCTGCGTTATTACTTGGAGTTTGTACGTGACGAAAAGTGCTTCTAAGGTCTTTCGACATATTTGAGGTGACTTGTTAATGTTTTTACTATACAGAAGATCTAGTTATTGTGGCTGCCATCACTCATTAATACATGTATGAAGTAAATAACTACACTTAGTATATTTCAAATAAAATCAAAACATAATCCGAATTTTGTTTCCTTTTTGTAAATGGCGCGAGTTCGATAATGTCGAACAGTTGGCTATTCGACAATACCGAACATTTAAAATAAATAAAGCAATTTATTTTTTATTATTGCAGAAAATGCCACGAAATATTAAATTACAAGAATGGAGTGAATCTAATACGTCCAAAGCTGTAAAGGCTGTGCAAAACAAAAAAAATGGGATATTTGAAAGCTTCGAAACAGTTTTCTGTTCCAAGATCGACTTTATTTGCTCTCTTCGGCAGAGCATATTTAAAAGTTCAAACTGGAGAAAGAGCGTTAAATGGATTCAAAGTCACTGGAATTTATCACATCAGTAGGAATATCGTTACAGATGAGGACTTTATAGCAGCAGAACATGCTAATGATGAAGCTACAGATCAAGAAACTTGATAAAGTAATTGTGAATTGTGAAATTGGGAAAGAAATTTGTGAAAATTGTGCCAATAGGCACTAGAGGAAGAAAATCTAGTAAAGCGAAAGTGTTAACATCTACACCGAATAAAGATGAATTAGAGGAATCTACGAAGGTGGAAGAAGATAAAAAGAAAAATTTCTCAAGTTCGGGAAGAATGTTTTCCATCGACTAGCAAAAATGTTCAAAAGCAAAAGAAAAGTAAAAAAATAGCGAGTAAAAAGAAAAGGCAGAAAAAAAGTTGACCAGGATGTACGATAGAATGCATATTTTGCGGGGAAAGGTTTTCTTCTAATATTAATGGCGAAGTTTGGATTAGATGCTCTCTTTGTAATTTATGGGCACATGATGAATGTAGCGGGGCAGAAAAAAGGTATAGATGCCTATGTGTGTGATTTTTGTGTATAAACCTTTGTGTGGTATTAACAGTGTAAGATTTAGTATTAACAATATAAGATTTATGTATTAAAGGATTTTGTTTAGTTTNTAAAATTAATTATATCAAGTATTCTCACCTTAATTAACTGTAGATTGTAACATTCCAAAGTTTGCAGGTGTGAATAGCAAAGCAAACCAAATGCAGTGAAAATGCCAAAGAAGGAAACTTGCTCTTTTAGTGGAATTGAAGAAAATCTCCTCTTGTTCTCACTTATCTGTTGAAAATTAACTGCATAATGTTGCAAGGTGAAGATGAAAACAGCAAATCCAGAATACAGTCCAAGAAAGACAACACCAGTTATTGGTTGCTTCAATATGATCAACCTGAACTTCAATTTTCTCTCATCTGTTGGACGATCTGCAGAAATAGGCAAAAAAATATTAAATAAAGAAGGGATTAAGTTAAGTAAAACATGAAATACAATAAAAAAATGCACCAAAAGGCAAGTAAATAACTACATTATAAAATGGTTACGTGGACTTCAAGTATATTCTATGGTGCTCGAGTTTTATTCTTAAGCGTTGTAAACAATTTGATAACAGAATGTAAAATAATAATGTTGAGCACTAGAGAAGTTTTTATTACAATGGTGCAAACGGAAAAACTTATACATTAATAAGCATCGGTAACCAGTATCCATCATCTTATTTTAATGTAAAATTGTAATTTGGACACACATGCTTACCTTAAATATGTAGAAAATTTTTCCATGTGAAGACGAGGGTAAACGAAGTGCAGTAAGAACACATCACCGTACACGATCCATTTGGGGACACTCAGTAATATCCAAGGAAACTTCAATATTCTTTCAATAACAGGCTAATCTGTAAAACAGAACAAGAGAAAACGAATTAGCTGCAATATTAATGAACAATACATGAAAATTAAAACGCAATTTTAGAATACAATAACGAAACATTGAATCATGTAGAAGACGTAGGGTAAATGCGAAGCAAAATAGTAAGAATGAGCACTAAGCAAAGCGAAGAAATAAGCAAGAAATGTATTGCTTCTACTGTTTACTAATAAAAAAAATTTAAAATGAAATATGAATTCCAATACAATCAAATAAAAGAAAATTACAAAACACTTGATAAAAAAATTAACTAAAGTAAACAATCAAAAAAATAACATGCCAAATAAAAACTTCATAGAAAAAAAAGAAAAATTCTAACTGGGGTCTTCTTTCTTTTATCCACTGTCGATTTGAAACAGATAGGTTGGTAACAGATTAGCAATCGGAAATTAATATTTATCATGTAATGTAATCTCACCTTAATTAATTGCAGAATGTCACGTTCCAAAGTTGAAATATGTGAATAAATAAATAAATTTCCAAATGCAAGGTGAAAATGTCAACAGTATATCAAGTCCAGGAAAACGAATACCATTGCAGACAATTGGTTGATACAGCAAGGCCCAAATAAACCAATATTCTCTCATTCATCAGTCAATCTGCAGAAATAAACGTGAAAAATGAATTAATATGAAATATAAAGTAAAAGTTCATGTGAAAGCAAAAAATATTTGCTATGAATTTACATGCAGGCAAAACCAAATACAACAGACATAAAATCTACCAGTAATAAGCAAAATAAGCATCACTTATGTTCAAAAATTGAATATTATATACATAAGAAATTACGAGTGCTGCCAGCAAAGGGCAAAGTAGTATTACATAGTATACGAATTTCTTATGCTGATGTGTACGATGTGTTGCATACCTATTTACTTATTATTATTTATGTAGAAAATTTTTCCATGTGAAGACGACAAGGGTAAACGAAGTGTAGTAAGAACACATCACCGTACACGATCCATTTGNTCAGAATGTGGCAAATAAATTTTGAAAAATATGCATATTACAGCAATTCTGATATTCAAATATGGGCAGTGTATCGCCATCTGGTGCTATTTGAAGCCACTAAAGCATTTAATTTTCATTATCTTCTTGTAAATGTTTAGGCTAAAAAGGGAGGGTAGACAGCCCACTTCCAAATATTCTGATTTATACATTCTAAAATTAATATCTATAGCTGTCGCCATTTTGAATAATATTTTCTGATAAATGAAGCCTTCATTATAATAAAGATAAGGTGCTCAGAGCAAATTTTTCTTTTCAAACAGTTCTTTTTAACTAAAGAAAGGCTTCTCGTTTTATCAAATGCAGACCGTTTATAAGTTTATACCTTAGAGATAGGTACATAATTAAATATAAAAATAAAAAATTCAACTTATCTTTTATATGTTGCGGTTATCCAAAATTTTCCAATTTGTAAGAAAATCGTCCTCTAGGTAACGCATTTGGTACACGCTGAGGCTCTGTTTGCCTTGGATCACTATATCTTTCCTAAAAGATACATAGAAAAAATTGTCAATGTGTTTTAATTTAATTATAAACCCATAAATAACAATGTAACTGCATTTTCTTGTGTCATTAAAAAGAGTATATACTTTTACATACAAATGGAATTGTTAATAAAAACGAAATGACGAAAATTATTTTGAATTTCATTGATTTTGCATGAGTCATTAATAAGATTACCCAAGTTATTCTTATTCTGAGGCATTGGGCCTTTTATCCAAAGTTTTATCAGTTTTTCCCAATTATCATACATTTTTTCATGTCTGTTGATATAAACAAATTACAATATTTCACCAACAAATTGACCAATTTTCATCCACAAAAAGTACCTCAATTTTTAAACTTTTAGAAACCTTCATTTCGATGTGAAAAAAAAATTAAAAAGGCATTTTTGCAATAACTGATTGAAAAAATTAATCGTACTGCGACTCAAATTAAAGGCTTTGAATTCCTCTACAATTTTTATTTGAAACATTTCTTTCTAAAAAGCATACCTTCTCTTCTATATCTAAAAACCTGGTTTTTGCCAACTTTGGATCTTCCGCATTTGTTAACGCACACTTTTTCGATGTTTAAAAATATGCAGGAATGCTCAACTTTTGCCAGCATATAACAAGGAACAACTCCCATCCGGTAACAAATTTATGTCGGGAAAATTATCTACCGGCTGGACTATAATATTAATTGATTAACATATGAATAGTGTATTTTAATCAGTTTCAACTAGCAAAATTTAGTTGAGTTTAATGTTCAAAATCCTATCAATTATCTCTAGTGCAATTTTGACCATTGGAATATCACAATATTCATGTACAATAATAAGGCGTAAGAACCGCTCTAGGAAGAATGTAAATATATAAAAATAAATACATACATAAAAAAGGACAAAAAGTTCACAAGAAAAGAAATTGTTAAATATTTTCAATAGATATAGTGGCTTTGTTATATTTTCATATTTTCAATGTTTGCTGTAAATTGTTTTTACACATTTCAGATAACTCTTGTGTAGATATAGTTAATAGTATTAGAAAACGAAATTATTATGACACCTATCAGTTATTAGTTACAAGATAATAAAATAAACGTTGGTAATATTGTAATACAAACAAACAATTTAACGTTTCATCAGTACAGAAATTTTTCTTACCGGAAATATTCTATTAAAAAAGAATTTTGCAGTTTTGAATACTAATTATTTGTTTACGCAAAACAAATAAAGAAATGAAAAAGAAATAAGCAAGAAATGTATTGCTTCTACTGTTTACTAATAAAAAAAATTTAAAATGAAATATGAATTCCAATACAATCAAATAAAAGAAAATTACAAAACACTTGATAAAAAAATTAACTAAAGTAAACAATCAAAAAAATAACATGCCAAATAAAAACTTCATAGAAAAAAAAGAAAAATTCTAACTGGGGTCTTCTTTCTTTTATCCACTGTCGATTTGAAACAGATAGGTTGGTAACAGATTAGCAATCGGAAATTAATATTTATCATGTAATGTAATCTCACCTTAATTAATTGCAGAATGTCACGTTCCAAAGTTGAAATATGTGAATAAATAAATAAATTTCCAAATGCAAGGTGAAAATGTCAACAGTATATCAAGTCCAGGAAAACGAATACCATTGCAGACAATTGGTTGATACAGCAAGGCCCAAATAAACCAATATTCTCTCATTCATCAGTCAATCTGCAGAAATAAACGTGAAAAATGAATTAATATGAAATATAAAGTAAAAGTTCATGTGAAAGCAAAAAATATTTGCTATGAATTTACATGCAGGCAAAACCAAATACAACAGACATAAAATCTACCAGTAATAAGCAAAATAAGCATCACTTATGTTCAAAAATTGAATATTATATACATAAGAAATTACGAGTGCTGCCAGCAAAGGGCAAAGTAGTATTACATAGTATACGAATTTCTTATGCTGATGTGTACGATGTGTTGCATACCTATTTACTTATTATTATTTATGTAGAAAATTTTTCCATGTGAAGACGACAAGGGTAAACGAAGTGTAGTAAGAACACATCACCGTACACGATCCATTTGGGGACACTCAGTAATATCCAAGGAAACTTCAATATGCTTTCAATAACAGGCTAATCTGTAAAACAGAACATGAGAAAACGAATTAGCTGGAATATTAATGAACAATACATGAAAATTAAAACGCAATTTTCAGCTAACAAAACCAAGTAATGCTGGAAATTATGAAATGGCGACGTAGCGTCAGTCAGCCTCATTCGTACATGATAATACCCTCGTTCTATCAGGGTACGCTACGAGTGGCGATATGAATGGAATTGTGAGATTTACAATCTCACACCCCCAGTCGTACCTTTATTCACTCGTTCAACCCCATTCTCGCTTCTTACTCACACCCCCATTCATTCCTCTACTCGCAGTGTACCCTCATGTACGAATGAGGGTATTTTGCGAGTGCAGGTATGAAAGTGACTTATGAAAATACTTTCTCACATCCTCATTTGTACCTCCATTCTCTCCCTCTCTCTCACACACACATCACTATTTGTACCTCTCTCATAACCCCATCTACAAATAGGGGTATTCTGTAAGTGGATGAATGAGTGGAGTTGTAGGATTTACTTTCTCACACCCTCTTTCGTATTTGCAATCTTTTGTCGATTTATTCACTCACACCACCCTTCGTTCCTTCATTTGTAAGGCATCCCTATTCATTACTCAATTCTCACATCTTCGTTCACCTTGACTCTCTCATACACGAAACATCTCATTCAGACTTTCATACAATCCTGTTCAATCCTTCTTTTTCACTCATATACATACACTTCTTATATGCATATACACATCCTATTCTANATAAAAAATTCAACTTATCTTTTATATGTTGCGGTTATCCAAAATTTTCCAATTTGTAAGAAAATCGTCCTCTAGGTAACGCATTTGGTACACGCTGAGGCTCTGTTTGCCTTGGATCACTATATCTTTCCTAAAAGATACATAGAAAAAATTGTCAATGTGTTTTAATTTAATTATAAACCCATAAATAACAATGTAACTGCATTTTCTTGTGTCATTAAAAAGAGTATATACTTTTACATACAAATGGAATTGTTAATAAAAACGAAATGACGAAAATTATTTTGAATTTCATTGATTTTGCATGAGTCATTAATAAGATTACCCAAGTTATTCTTATTCTGAGGCATTGGGCCTTTTATCCAAAGTTTTATCAGTTTTTCCCAATTATCATACATTTTCCTAATCTCATTATAATAATAATATAATATAATTAATTTTTCTAATTCAAGAAAATGATAACATAAGCAAGTTAACAATTCTATTAACAACAAAACAAAATAAATTTACCTTAAACGAAAGCACAATCTTTATCTATTAATATTTCTACTGAATAAATAAAACGCTCAAATCAAGCAAAACTGTTAAGACATGTAACTGTTGTTAATGTTTAGTATATAAAGCACGATACCGTATCAACATTTTTGTATTGTTCAATAACTTTAATAAAAATGTAGACAAAAAGCAGAGATGCTTGTGTCATAGGCAACTGGAAATAGTTTTGAAATGCCTTTGAAACATTATAATTTCTTCAACCTTGAAAGAAAAATGTGACTACAACTACGTTAGTCTAGTAAAATTTGAATGCAAACATTTTTAAACTGAAAGAATAAACAAATGTTTATCAAATTTCTCCACAAATGACCTAATATTCCAAAGAAGTAGACCATACCTACATTTCAAAAATGAAATTATTAGTTTAGTTGATATATTTTAATGTAATTATGAATCATAGGGGCAATTGAAATAAAGGATTTAATTACAAAACTAATTCCACTTCATCAATTAATAATATGAAGTTAAAAAAAACGACTTTTTAGTTTGTTCCCAGTATTGTTTATATCGCAGTTTTATTCACTTCGACAATAAACCATTTTCAGAAAATTCTGGTCGTGAAGTCACGGAAATCTTTTATGACATTAATTGTTTGTGTTGTGTTGGATTTAAGTAGTTATAAGTATCAATAATTCGAATAAATATGACAGAATGTGTTTTTGGGTATAGACTCACGCCGCCTAGGAACCACCCGTTTTCGCTGCACATTATTGCATAATTAACAAATCGCAATTATTTAATAATATGTCTTAATAAAATCAAAAGATAATTTAATTTTGCATCCGACATGTCAAAGTGAAATGACTTCTTATTTAAAAAAAATGAGTTATTTATCATTGAAACATTTAAAGTTTGAACATTACTAGTGTAATGGTTTAATGTGCTTTGAAAGAAATTTTGGGATGGAAAGCTAACTGCGTTTCATATTGTTGAGATATTAAATTTTTTTAAGGTATTACAAACGTCCAATTTTCTAAAAATTACTAAATAACTCCAAAAAGATACCATGCAGGCAAAAAGTATGCTTAACAAACTGTATATTAAAATCGATGCTGAATTCAAAACTGCAATAATATACAGCCTGTCCATTTAAAATAAGGCAGCTGATGTATACTTCCGGTACATTCGGAAGTCCGCCATCTCTGAAATTAATTTCTGCAGATGGATGATTTTACCAGGGATATTTTTTATTGGAAATATTTTCTTCTAATTTCAACGGCAAGACCGCCAGAGAGCAAGCCGGGCTTAACGGACTACCCTGTATATATATATATATATATAGAAATTGCGTTTCACTTAAAATATAATTTTCTACAGTAATCTCCTCCAAGCTGCCCTTAATTATTTCAGTACAAACATTATAAGCCCTATCCATTACTGTTATACCCCTGTAATTTTTAACTTTTTCCCTTTTATAAACCGGCACAATCACCCCGTGTTTCAATTCTGCTGATATTGCACTATCATCCCATATTTCCCTAAAAATTTCCAGCAACTTTTCCCTTAATATATCGCTTACATGCAGCCATGCTTTATGCTTATCCTGGTATCTCATTGTGTACTTTTTTTTTGACAAAACACTTCCTAACTTCATCTAATTCCAAGTTTGGTTTCCTATCCTTTACCACCCTTTCCTCACATATACCAAACTCCCTTTCCAATCGCTCTTCCTTACATCCTAACATTCCTTAAAATGACTAAAATGTTTCAGACCGCATGATTATTTCCTCCCCTAGTTCGCATTCACTACCTCTAAGCCACAAAATTTTCTTATTAATCACGTTTATCCTGAGAAAAACCGCAAAAGCTCCCGATTTGGACAAAGTAACGTATATTATCATTAAATAAAAACACCCCATGATTTGCGTTATGTAAAGTTGAACAATTGAGATTTTAAAAATATTGTATGGGATTAAATTAATATTCAGGGTGGCTATCACGAGCTAGAATTTTTAATGTATGAGCTTTGGCCCACAGTGTTCCACCCGTAGATTCATCCCTGCGTCAAGGTATTATTAACTATTCTGGCCGTAACCACAAAAATACTTTTTTTTCCTTCAACTTTAGAGGCTGAATTTCGTAACAGACTTCCTTATTCTTTGTATATAATGTAAAGCAAACCTCTGTGCAAAATTTCTATTGTGTAGATTCAAGGGTTCAGGCTGGGCGTTGATGACTCAGTGACCAAGTGAGTCAGGAGTTTCTTTTATATGTGTATATAGATTTAAATGTAATAAAATGAATTTATTTGGTTTCTCAAAAATTTTAAACATTGCAACCAGTTATTCACTTACTTGAACCATTTCTCTTTAATTTCTATAGAAAAGAAGGTGATTGCTTCTTAGTTAAATCGATTAAAAACCAGCAAATTTGCCTAAATTACTTTTTCATCTTTTAGTACATCATAGAATGCACAAATTAAAACCTTATATCTTTAAAAGTATTTTCTAGTATTGATGATATAATGCTGCAAAGAACCATTGTCTCATAATAAACTTTTGAAAAAAATGAGGAAAATTTAAATTGCTAGTACACGTAGAGGCTTAAAATCAACTTTCTTTCAGACAATTTCATTATATAACGAATGTAACGTCAATTTTTAATTTTTGTATTTTACTTATACTTATATAATATAATTAGTTGCAGTAATTTTAAGTCAAAATGGTAAAATTTATAATACTTATTAATCAGACTAACAAAATAAATTGTATTTACAATTGGTTAAAAACTTTCAGCCCAAGATATTCTAATATGTCGTGTGTTTAGGGTTTTAAATTTTTTTTAAATTAAAGTAATTAATTCTACAAGATTGATTAAAAATAATATTATTTTTACAATTTCCATTAAAAATTGCAACTAATCCTATTATGTATAAGTAAGTCATTAATTGTCTGATAAGAAATTTGATTGTAAATCTCCACATATATTAACAATTTAATTACCTTGAAGAAACCTTACCCGATGGCGTAAACATTAATGAATCTATACAAATAAAAATCAATTGCCGCATATATGACAGAACATCGCTTGTGAACGGCTCCACTGTGTTCGTAATTGTCATGTGAAAGTTTACATAAAAAACATTTTTTGGAAAATCGACGAAAATAGTTGGAAATTTGAATGGTATTTTTATATGAATCTGCATACTAAACGCCTGGGGTAAACCTTTTGGAAACGATAGCTGAAATTTTCCGCAGAGGTTTTCTATATGATGTATACAAGGAAGGATATTTTGAAATTTAACCCTAAGGGGATTAAAAAGGGATTGCAAAGTATATATGGAACATTTTTATTTGTAGTGATATTTAGAAGCCGTGGGAAAAAGTTAAAGAAATTTAATGAAAAAAAGACTCCAAGAATCTCAAATCTCTCAAAAATTATTTAATAAAAATTAAAACACTTACCCATAAACTTTAAAAATAAAAAGCAATTTAAATGTTTTCTACAAAAACTAAGTACCAAGAAGTTATTTAAAATGCAATGCATAAGTAGATAATCTATTAGACATATATTTGTTTCAAGAAGCAATTGGAAAATGCATTGTTTCCCGCATTAGTTTTCTGCTTTTCAATTCTGTGAATATTTAAATAATTTTTGAAGATAACAACAAATATTCTGAGGATGGAGAATATAAATGTTATTTATAGAATAAAATAGCAAAAATTAAACAATATGAGATAGTTGTAATACATTATTTTCCACCCAAAGAAATTTGCACCCGAACCTTTCAAG